GTTTTGATACCTAAACCAGGAGCAAAAACAGAGAAAGAAAACTATAGACTAATTTCCTTAATGAATATCAATGAAAATTTTTAAATAAAATGCTAGCAAGGAGATTATAGTAATGTATCACAATGATCATACACTATGACCAGGAATGTAGGTCTGGCAGACTTAAAGAATCCCAAAGAATTGACTAAAAAACCTAATTGAAACAATTAACAACGTTAGCAAAGTTGCAGGACATAAAAAAACCCCACACAAATTATCAACATTTCTATATATTACCAACAAAGTCCAGCAGGAAGAGATAGAGAAATTCCATTTTAAATAACTGCAGAGTATTGATTGTAATCCCAAGGGATCAGGGGACTTTCCTGGGTAAGGACTAGATCATAGACTAGCAGAACTACACTTCTCCCCATACCTAAATACTGCCTTGGAAGCAGTGAAAACTTCCAAACCCCCAAAACTAGCTCTAAAAACAGCAGTGCAAAAAAAAAAAAAAGCAAGCTTAAAGCTTGACACACTGTCCTTCTTCCCCCACACTGGAAACAGAACTCAACTTTAACCTAAAGTTCAAAATCAAGAAATAGGGTGGAAAAATGAGCAAACAACAAAAAAAGAACCTGATCATAGAAAGTTACTAGGGTGACAGGGAAGATCTAAGACACAGACTCAGAAGAAGACAATGAATGTCAAGACAAGGAAAGCCTCAAAGGAAAAAAACTGTGAATTGGACACAAGCCCAACAAGAATTCCTGGAAGAGCTAAAAAAAAAAAATTTCAAAATCAAATGAGTGGTAGAGGGAAAATTAGGTGAAGACATGAGAGTAAAGGAAGAAAATTATGACAATTAACTGCTTGGCAAAAGAGGCACAAAAAGATTGAAGGAAGCAACATTTAAAAAAAAAAAGGAATTGACCAAATGGGAAAAGAGACACAAATATTCACGGAAGAAAAGATCTCCTTAAAAAGAAGAATAGGCCAAATAGAAAAAAAGAGGTACAAAAATTCACTGAAGAAAAGATCTTCTTAAAAAGAGAATTGGGCAAGCGGAAAGTAATGCCTCCATGATACATCAAGAAACAATCAAAGTAAAAAGAATGAAAAACTAGAAGAAAATGTGAATTAAGGGGCAGCTAGGTGGCCCAGTGAATAGAGCACCGGCCCTGGAGTCAGGAGGACCTGAGTTCAAATATGACCTCAGACACTTGACACTCATTAGCTGTGTGACCCTGGGCAAGTCACTTAACCCTGATTGCCTCACCAAAAAGCAAAAAAAAAAAAAAAGTGAACTATTTCATCAGAAGAGTAACTGACCTGGAAAACAGATTTAGAACAGACAATTTAAAAATTATTGTGAGGGGGGTTACAAAAGGGAGGGCAGATTAAGGGAGGCTGTGATCAGAAGCAAAACAGACTTTTGAGGAAGGACAGGATAAAAAGAGAAAGAGAATAATAGGGAAAAATAGGATGGAGGAAAATACAGTTAGTAATCAAAACTGTGAATGGGATGAGCTCACACATAAAATGAAAGCAGTTAGCAGAATAGATTATAAACTAGAATCCAACAATATGTTGTTTACAAGAGACACAACTAAAACAGAAAGACACACAAAGAGTCCAAATAAAGGACTGGAACAAAATGTTGTGCTTCAGCTGAAGTAAAAAAGGCCTGAGTAACAATAATGATCTCAGACAAAGTGAAAGCAAAAACAGACAATTAAAAGGAATAATCAGGGAAACCATATTTTGCTAAAGGATACCATAGAAGTAATGTCAAAAAATTTTACAGCAAGTTTCTCTGATAAAAGCACCATTTCTCAAATATATAGAGAGCTGATTCAAATTTATAAAATAAGAGCCATTCCTCAATTAAAAATGGTCTAAGGGTATGAATAAACAACTTTCAGAAGAACTCAAAGCTGTCTATAGTCATATGAAAAAATGCTCTAATCACTAAAACAACTTCACATCTATCAGAAATCACAAATGCTTGAGGAGATGAGGGAAAATAGGCACACTAATAAACTGTTGGTGCAGTTGTAAACTGGTCCAATCATTCCGGAGAACAATTCAGAGCTATGCCCAAAGGGCTGTAAAACTGTGCATACCTTTTAACCCTGCAATACCACTACTAGGGCTATACTTCAATGAGATGAAAGGAAAAGGAAAAAGACCTATATGTACAAAAATACTTATAGCAGCTCTTTTTGTTGTGATAAAAGCATTGGAAATTGAGGGGATACCCATCAGCTGGGGAACAGCTGACCAAGATGTGGCATATGATTGTCATGAAATACTATTGTGCTATAAGAAATGGCAAGCAGGATGCTTTAAGAACGACCTGGGATGACATATTAATGAATGCAAAGTAAAGTGAGCAGAACCAGGATAATATTGTATACAGTAACAGCAATACTATAATTATGATCAACTGTGAAAGACTTGGCTACTCTGATCAAGACACAATCCAAGACAATTCCAAAGGACCCAATGATGAAAAATGCTCTCCACCTCCAGAGGGAGAACTGATGAATTCTGAGTGCAGATTGAAGTATACTTTTTAAACTTTATTTTTCTTGTGTGTGTGTGTGTGTGTGTGTGTGTGTGTGTGTGTGTGTTTTCTTTTGCAACATGGCTAACATGGAAATATGCTTTACATGACTTCACAATATTGCTTGCCTTCTCAAGGGGTAGGGGAGAGGAGGGAGGGAAAGAATTTGGAACTCAACATTTCTTAAAATGAATGTTAATTTTTTTTATATTTAATTGAGAAATTTTAATGAAATAAATAAAAATATGTTAAAAAAAAAAAAGAGCATCCCTCCAGCTCAGGTGGGCACAGAGTGAAGGGATGGGATTCTCATAACCCTGGCCAATCCATCCTTTTTATCTGCCCTTTGAGGCACCCGCTGCCCACAGCTTGGAAGAGAATTTTCCAGGACAGAGCAGAGCAGATCCAGGTGAAGTTTAAGGGTCACTGAATTAAGTCACTGAGTTAATGTCACTGAAACATCCCTTGGAGGAAGCGAAGTATGGGTTGGTTTGCTGAGGTAGCTGGCCGTTTGGGAAGGAGGTAGGGCGGCAGGCCAGAGAAGAGCTTATAACAGAGCCACATAGATTGGATCTGAGCAGCCTAGACAGAACCTTAGAACAAGGCACAGACAGGGTCAGGTAGAGAGGCCAAGACAGGGTCAACTATCCAGCTGCACAGACACTCAGAGACACACGTAGAGGATGCCGGGGAGACCTTTCTGAACCCTGAGCAGACAGAGAATTAGGCAGTCAGATGTCCTAGTGTGGCAGAGACCCTGGCCGCATTTAGCTGCCCAAAGTCTGACACACTTTCACTCCGAGCGTTCCTAAATATGAGATTAAATGCTGAGAGTGCTTCTAAACCTGAAATATCCTGACCTCCCAGTGTAACCAGCTAAATTTTTGGTCATCCTTCAAAGTCCAGCTCACACCTTTCCTGACTCCCTTATTTGGAATGATCCTTTCCCCCCAAGCCTTACAGAGCACCTCGTTTCTTTAGAATGTATTCATCATGGTCCTTTGTCAGTATTAGGGTAGTGGGAGGGAAAACAATTATATGTATGTATAGATAGATAGATAGAGGGCACAGAGTGAGTTGAAGATGAAGGGGTGATATCTGCAGAATAAAATTAAGGGGTGAGAGGATTATACTGGGAGAAGGAGAAAGGGAGAAGTAGAATGGGACAAATTATCTCACATGAAACAGACAAGAAAAGGCTTTTACAGTGGAGGGGAAATGGGGGATGGTGAGAGGGAATGAATGAATCTTATTCTCACAGGATTTGGCTTAAGCAGGGAATAACATACACAGTGGGGTATGGAAATCTATCTTACCCTAAAGGAAAATAAGGGGGAAGGGGATAAGACATCAGGGGGTTGATAGAGGGGAGGGCAGACTCGGGGAAGGGATAATCAAAAGCAAACACTTCTGAGGAGGGACAGGGTCAGAAGAGAGAATAGAATAAACGGGGGGTAGGAGAGGATGAAGGGAAATATACTTGGTTTTTCACAACAGGACTACTATGGAAGTGTTTTGCATGACTACTCATCTGTAACCTGTATCGAGATGCTTGCCTTTTCAATGAGGGTGAGTGGGGAGGGAGGAAGGGAGAAAATCTGTAACCCAAAGTTTTAAAAACATATGTCAAAATTGGAAACAAATAAATAAATAAATAAATAAATAATTTTTTAAAAAAAGAGAATGTATTTATCATGGATTATTTCATATTACTGGTATCTGTAGCTACGGTTATTTGAATCGGCTAAGGGACATGGCATATAGAGCTGGAGAATGGAGTTATGAAGACCTGGAGTCAGTTCAATACTGCCTCTGACAGTTACATAGCTGGCTAACCCTGGGCAAGTCACTTAACCGCTGTCTGCCTCAGTTTCCTGATCTGTAAAATGTGGATGGTGATAGTACCTACCTCCCAGGGTTGTTATGAGGATCAAATGAGATAATATTCATAAAGTGCTTTGCAAACCTTAAGGAGCTATGTAAATGCTAGTTATTATTATCATTAATCATTATCATTATTGTTCTCAGCATATGTGTCAGACTGTCCAACCAAAATGAGGGCCAAGACCATGTACCTGTGTATTTTCCCAGTCCCTAGCAGATGCTCTGCAAATAATTAAGTGGTTAATAAACCTTGCATTGATTTCAGTCACGTATGTATATATGCATGCATGCGTACATATAAACATAAGAATGTGAGCACAGGCTAGGGTTTAGTGTAGGACTTGTAAGGCTGGTGGAGCCTAGGGATCCCTTCTCAGAATAATGTTACTAATGCATAAAATAAAATCCCTAGAATTACAAAAGAAACCAATTATATTGAAATACAGTTATCAAAATATTTTTAAAACACCAAGACTAAGTTCATGGTCTCTAGGTTAAGAACCCCTGCTTTAGGTAAATGAGAAGAAGGTAGTGGGGGATGGGAGGGAGGGAGAGGCTTCTGCTTCACCTGGGAAGTCAGGAGGGAGCTCGGTGATGTGGCCTGTTTGCAGGTTCTCACAGATCACTTTCTTGAGATTGATCTGGATGATTTTTATGAGGTCTCCAGTGGACAAACAGCACTCAAGCCCAGAGAGTTCATAGATGGAGCCTATGGAAATAATCACAGTGGCAGCAATGTATTACTAACAACTTACATTTAAAAGGTGTTTTAAGGCTTATAAAAAGATATATGGTATTTCATTTGATCTTTACAATAGCCTTGGTGAGGCTTTTATCACCCCAACTGTACAATCAAGAAAACTGGGGGCCAAAGAGTTTTAAAGTAAGTTGCCCAAAGTCACATAGATAATTATTGGAAGAACCCGGACTGGACCTCCGTCCTTCTGATTCCCAGTCCAACCCTCTTCCTTCCTCCCTAACATTCTTCAGTTTTCCCCATTCAGTTGTGTCCTGAGTCCCAGTCAGCCCCTGCTCCTCACCCCCACCCCAACCCCTACAGCCTTGATGGACCCTCTCCCTTCTGGCACCAGAGGCACCCAAACAAGAACCCGTGAATAGGCCTTTTGTCCTCCAGCCCATGTCCAACTGGGTTTGACAAGAAAAAAGAAGGACACAAAACCATATCAGAAACTCTAGATCCCTTTAATCCCTAAGAGGAAGCAAAAAGTTAAGGATCAATGAATCAAAGAGTAAGGGTAACAAGTCAAAACAGTTCAAGGAAAAGTCAACCATTCAATATCAACCCCAAATTTGACTATAGAGGCTTGAGAAGTGAAAGAAATGGATGGTGAGAGAGAAACCCTGAAACAGGGGGATTTGGAAAATATCTGATCATGTGTAAGGTCAAGAAATCCAACCTACCCAAAACACAAGGTTCAATTAAGAGAGAGAAATGGAAAGCTTGGGAAGCATTAATATAACGAACAAGCAAATGGTTTCGTCAAGGGAGGTAACAGAAACTAGCTTCTCAGAACAATGGGGAAATAGCAGGGCCAGAAAGAGTTCATAATAGCTCATGTCCTTCATACTGCCTCAGGAATTACTGGTTACCAAAGCATGTTACTAGCTTGCTCTTAGAACCCATCACACACACACACACACACACACACACACACAATTATGATATGATAAGAACACTCATGACCCTTCCACCTACAGGACCTCTACATGTTTTGATACTTTATACATTCAGCTTGTATCAGTAAAAAAACAATCTATAAATATGGGAAAAATAATAATAAATTGGCTAAGGAGTAAAAAAAAGTTTGGATGTCCCAGAGGCATAAAGAGCAACTTATTATTGATTTGGTAATCATGAAATAACCTTCCTGAAAGTTCCATAATGTTCAGATTGGCTCTGTTAATTATCACAAAGCTTTTAACTCAGTTCTGCACCCATGGCTTATTTATGTCCTACAAATATACAAAATAAGTTTAGTGAGATTTCTATTTGATGTCTAGCAGAAAACTGTTCTCTATTTAAAACATATCACCAACATAATAATTCCAAGAAAAGATGCTATAAAATGTGTCATTTTTTAGGGACATAGTTTGTCCTAGTTTTAAAGCCATTATCATCTCTCCCAAATACAATTAAGTATGGTTTCCTAATTAAAGAGGGAGTTGAAACCCGAAACCTCTTATTAACTCATCATTTGATAAATATTGATGATCTCAAACTATTTGGTTCCACCAAAAGACACATTAGATGACTCCTTCATCTTGTGGAGTCTTTCTCCAGCAATAAGAAAATGTCATTTGGACTTTTACATATTAAAATTTTTAACATATACTAAGGAAAGACAGAGACCAAAGACTTTGAGTTTGAATCTGAATGTTACATTGAACAAAGGAGGAAGACAATAACTATAAATATCTTGATCTACTCTAGGCAATACACAACTAGTATAAAAATATCAAAGTGATGTCTGTGTTTGCATATGTTGAGACTTTCTGGTATCCTACTATCAAAGCTGAATGGGAAAAACACATTTAAAACAATAACATCCATTCAATACCAGTCTTCATGTACCCTTTTGGAACTATAAAATGGACCCTAACAGATTTGCAAAATACCCTAACTAAAAGCCAGTACAATATTCACATAGAACTAAGGCAGCTATGGAAAGATTAACACTTCCTCATCAAAAAGGAGGAAGATGATTGATACAAATCCTTCCTTACCCACCTCCATCAACTCTTCATCACTGGACTCCTTGCTATTCCCCTCACAACACACTCCATCTCTCACCTGTAGGTATTTTCACTGGCTTTATCCGATGCTTGGAGCTCTCTCCCTTCTCATGTTCACAACCAAACCTTCACTACCCTAACATCCCTTCAAACTATAATCCTATATCTCTCCCCACTTTCAGAGTCAAACTCTTAGAAAAAGCTGTCTACACTCAATGCTTCCATTTTCTTACATCCCACTCACTTTACAACCTCTGACCCTCTGACTTCCTACCCCATCTAGACTGAAACTGGTTTCTTTGTAAAAAATAGATTTTCATTTATTTCTTTTGCTTTTACACCAACCAAATTTCTCCCTGTGTTCCTTCCCTTCCCCTTCCCCAAGAGCCATCTCTTATAACAATATTTTTAAAAGGAAGAAAAAAATTAGGAAGACTGGTCAACAAATCTCTGCCCCGCCCCAAATCTGCCATTACACATTCCTGAGCCCTGAACTTTTCTGAGAAGATTTTTTCCTATTTCTTCTTCTTTGGGTCAAGTTTGTTCTTCCTAACTTCACAATATAAAATTTCAATCATTTTGTGGTTGTTCTGTTTATATTGTTATAATTATTTTGTATATTGTTTTCCTGGTTTTGCTTATTTCATTTGGTATCAATTCAAGTTAAAAAAAAAAGTGTTGACTATGCAGCAGACACTGTGTTAAGCACTCAGAATACAAACATAAGAAGAAAGACAGTCCCTGCCCTCAAGGAGCTTCCATTCTAATGGAAGAAGACAACACATAAAAGAAAACTGAAAATCAAGGTGGGGAGTACCAATAGTCCAGGGGCATGGTGGAAAAAAAATATGGAGGGTCAGGAAGAGATGGTCACTTTCCTTTAAACGCAAGTTCTAGGAAGAATCAGCCAATCAGAGGAAGAGGCCTCAGGGGTGAAGTATGAGAAGTCCAGGAGTAGAGTGAACTTCCAGGGTAAGGAGGCTTCTGCGGCGTCATAGGATAAAGCTGTACGAAATCCTGTTTAACCATTCCCCCACTGGATGGCATCTACTTTGTTTGAAATTGCTCATTTCAAAGTTACTGACGCTCTCTTAATTGCCAGATCCAATGACCTTTTCTCAGACTTCATCCTTCTTGATCTTTCTAGAGTATCCTCCCCCTTGTTTTTCATGATTACCATGCACGGCCTGCCCATGGCATGCTCCAGGGCTCAGTTCTGGGACCTCTTCTCTTCTCCAAATACATACTCTCTCAGTGATCTCATCAGCTCCTGTGAGTTTTAATATCATTGCTATACAAATGACTCCGAGAACTTTGTATATGGCCCTCATCTCTTTCCTGAGCTACAATCTCCCATCACCAACTGCTTGTTAAACATCTCTCCCTGTGTGTACCATAGGTATCTTGAACTCGAGATTATGATAGATGGTTAATTGGACCCTTATTCAATCAATATTAATCAGTTTGACATGATTCCAGAGGGGTAGTGATTGTAAGTTCTGTAGAACTTATAATCGGCCCTAGAGGTATGAACTGAAGGTTGCAAGTTCACTTGCTTAATCATAGGAAGCTAACTAAAGGACCTCCATCTTTGTTTTTCCTTGTTATTACGACCAAGCCCAGCATGGCAGAAGTGGCTCAATTACATGGAAAGCTCCCCCAGCTATTTTTGTTGCCCCTCTGTCCCTTGTCATGCCTCTATTGCCCAATATGGGGAGATGACCATTAGCACTTGGCCCATGAGTCACCCTAGTTGCCAGCCTGAAGCCTGCCTTTCTACCAGCCCATTCACCTAGGTAGATGTTTTGAAATCTGTTTAACAACCCAGACCATGGATGTGCTCATCTGCTTGGTAGGACCTCCTGAAAGGTCAATATAGATCTGTTAAGGTCTCCTCATTAGCCTGTTTGTCCACCAATAGGATTCTGTATTTTGTGTAGACCCTCCTAGAAGGTCAAGGGCAAGGTCTATCACCCAATGAGATTCTGTGCTTTTTTATCTACTTCACTTGTATTATTGGGATATCAAGCACTATAAAACTAAGGCCCTGGAGGAAGGGGGCACCTCAGAGTATGAGGAAGATCTGAGGTCCACTTCATTAGAGGGGGCCATGGACCCTTTAATAAAATGCCATTGGCTCAAAGCTCTGCCTCAGTGGTTTTTCTTGCAGATTGGACAATTTTGGAATTCCCACAAGATGTTTAAAATGGGACTCACCATTTTCCCCTCCCTGACCACCTCACTTTCTAACTTCCCTATGTCGGCAGAGGGTACCACTTTCCTCTCAGCCCAGGTCTGCAACCTGGAGTCACCATCCTCAGCTCTTCATTCTCTCTCACTCTTCACATCCTATTAATTGTCAAGTTTTATCAGTTCTACCTGGACGACATCTCATCCTGTCCTTTTCTCTCCAGCCTAGTTCAAGCCCTCATCATCACTGGAATGGGCTATTGCAATAGCCTCCTACTTGGACTCCCTGCCTCACTTCACTCTTAGTCAGTCAGTGAATAAGCACTTATTAAGCGGCTACCATGTGCCAGATATTATGCTATGCACTGGGGATACAAAAAAAGGTGAAAGACAGTCCTTGCCCTTGAGAAGTTCACAATATAATAACGGAAACAAGTAAAAAATTATGTGCAAATAAGTTACCTGCAGGATACATAGGAAATAATTAAAAGAGGGAAGGCACTAGAATTAACGAGCATTGGGAAAGGCTTTTTGTAGAAGATGGGATTTTAGCTAGGGAAGCTAGGAGACATCAATGAGGAGGGAGAGCAGTCCAGATATGGGGGACAGCCAAAGAAAATGCCCAGAACTGAGAGGGAGAACTCTGTTTAAAGAACAGCCAGGGGGCAGCTAGGTGGTGCAGTGGATAGAGCTCCGGCCTTGGAGTCAGGAGGACCTGAGTTCAAATCCAACCTCAGACACTTGACACTTACTAGCTGTGTGACC